CATGACCTCATCGTCATGGATGCAATGGTGAGTTTACTTGAATTTGTGCTCCTTCTCACCATTGAGCCAGATGTCAGTGGCTCCATCAACGAAATGGACGTTGACGGGATGATGGTCAGCATTATAGCGGACGTTAGTATTATTGAAATGTTAAGTTTTGGTTTCATTACTGAAGACGCTGACTACACTGTACTGAATTTGGTAAATTGTGCCAGGCCGTCGGGTGGAACACCGCTAAGCCACCTTAGCTGCCTACTGAATGTATGTATACACGACCATCAGCTCCCTCCAAATGTACGTACGTCTCGACCCGACTCTAGATATTCGGCAGTTTGAAGCAGATTGAATCCTATCGGAGGTGGGGCATAACATGTGTCAAGTGTCTGATTGCCGCAGACAGAGGGGAAGCCAAATGAAGCAGCGGATGGTTGTCGAAAGTTTCACCGGCCCTCAGCACACCCGATTCATCGCTGTTGACTGCTTTATACCGTCTAAATGACACGGCACCGAAAGTCGATGTGCATGTACATGTACACGTTCTTGCTCATTTGATTGATAGAGGCGGGCTCATGTACGCGCAGTGTGGTGTGCTGCACGACGCTCTTTCGCGTCATTGTTGGTTATTTTCGTTCTCGCTCACAAATCGGTCAAGATTCGTCGTGAACATTTTCGTGAAGACCCGATGTTGTTACTGTTGGGTCACGGAAGAGGCCTTCTCGGATCGAACGTCGTCCTCGTTGTTGGCACCTTTTTGATATTTTAGTTTGTATTTAATCGGTTGACTATTAACGTGTTATTAATCCGCTGCTACTGTGCATTCCTAGAACAACCAGTGGATCTCAACCGTTAATAGCGTTAATAAGTAACGCTTCATTTTGCTCTGGCTCAACCGACGATAAAGAAGCTTGCCCCCTCTCACGAGCCACGCAAGTCCGTAGCCCTGCTTTAACGTGTCGTCCAATGCTGTGCTTTTGAACCAGACGATGTTGTTGTAACGCTTGCTCGGCGCGCGGAAACGTACCGGCGAGGCTGACTGACTTCGGCGTTTCGAGCGATCGTTTCCCTGTCCGTTCTCTTCACCGAATTGCTGTAGTCGCCACCCGGTGCTAATCCTTGGGGCACTCGTCATCATCAGACGATATCCGATCTTGTAAGGCCACGCATGCACTGCGATGCGAACGGCAACAACGAGTAGCCTTAGTCAACTTTACTTTAGCCTCCCGTGGGATCTATACGCACCAAGCTACATAGACACCAAAGCTACGATCACTACGACTATTGGCTATTTGAACTGTACAAGTGTTAGTG